GAAGGACAATTCTGAGGAAGACGAAGATCATCGCAAGGACAATTCCAAGGAAGACAAATATCATCGTAAGAAGGACAATTCTAAGGAAGATAAAGATCATCGCAAGAAGGACAATTCTGAGGAAGACAAAGATCATGGCAAGAAGGACAATTCTGAGGAAGACAAAGATCATCGCAAGAAGGACAATTCTAAAGATTCTGTAGAAAGTGATGAAGAAAATTCTGAGGAAGACAAAGATCATCGCAAGAAGAACAATTCTAAAGGTTCTGTAAACAGTGATGAAGGAAATTCTGAGGAAGACGAAGATCATCGCAAGGACAATTCTAAGGAAGACAAAGATCATCGTAAGAAGGACAATTCTAAGGAAGACAAAGATCATCGCAAGAACGACAATTCTGAGGAAGACAAAGATCATCGCAAGAAGGACAATTCTAAAGATTCTGTAAAAAGTGATGAAGGAAATTCTGAGGAAGACGAAGATCATCGCAAGAAGGACAATTCTAAGGAAGACAAAGATCATCGCAAGAAGGACAATTCTGAGGAAGACAAAGATCATCGCAAGAAGAACAATTCTAAAGGTTCTGTAAACAGTGATGAAGGAAATTCTGAGGAAGACGAAGAACGTCGCAAAGAAGGCAATACACGTTCTTCTGAGAATGATAGTGAAGAAGAAGGTCGTCCGAAGGGCAAAAAAACTTCTGAATGGATCTCTAAATCAAAAGGTGGTAAGAAATGGTCGAATAGTGGAAAAGGTAATGTTCACTGGCGCAGTTCGAAGGTTTTGAGCAAGAATTCTGTGGAAAATGTTGGCAAATGGGTGGAATCTCAAGTATCAGTACCAGTTATCAAGAAACTTGGTATAAACAAAGCAGGAGGTCGTCGTTGAATCAAGTCTGAAGGATCCAAAATTAAATTAGGTGGCGGAAAGGACGACGATAGTTGGGGTAATTCGAAGGAAGCTTGAAACGGACTTAAAGGAATAGGTGTACCTACACTTGGATGGTAGACACTTATGCATTCACTATGTGTGTCGGTAAATATTGACAAAGAAGGCGACTCAAAGGGAAATGGTATATATTAATAACACAATTTTCGGGTATGAATATTTATGCTTAGACTGTAGATATATATTATATACGCACTTACTGCATTTCTTGGCATGCAAAATGTAGTTCTATAAAATGCAGAATACAGATTTTCATAAAGTTTGATACCGCATATGTGTTATTATGAACATATTAGAAGCTTTAATATCAGAAATAAAATTCTCTCCAAACTTCTACAAGCTACTTATGATTAGTCTCTGAAACTAAACACAACGAAATACAATCTATAGCTAGTAGATAATAGTGTATTAATAAATAAGTACAAGGGTTATTCCGAGAAGTGATAGCTACCCACCAATCGAAAGTATTAACGACAGAATTACTCCCAATTCTTAGTGTAATTAATATATTTTGTTAGAATATTTCGATCCTAACAAGATATCCAAGTTATGTATTAACTACATGTGTACCTAAATAGTATTATAGAAATCAGAACACATATATTATTTTATCTTGGCTTTATCTCCTTATCTTTAATTATAGTCATGTGTGCTGACACTGACATATTGTAGCATACACAAATGACTAATAAATAATGTTCTGAAATGAAATTTTTTTTCTTTCTAATCGCGAACGTACATTCCAGTTTCCGAACTAAACTCTTTGAAAAATTGCAAATGGTTACTTCAACCATGTAGCGAATACTGAACAAATTACCTTAATCTTCATATGATCAAAGATATAAATCTTCATGGGATATAAAGTGATTCAGAAATTCAATTGATCTTTAGATAAATAAAGTTGCTAGAACGTATCAGTTCAAACGCACCGATCTTGCTACACTGCTTGCGTGCTTATCGAAGCATTGCAAGTGTGAAAACGCGGAACTGTTATGAGCAGCAATTGCGGATGATCTATATTGTACGTGAACGTCGCGCAGCATGTAGGAAGTTCCACGGCGACGTCCAATTACGCGTCTCCGGATATAAATCATCGGAAATATGAGACCCACTAACGCAGACCGTTCATTGATACATTGTTACAATTGCGAGAAAGTAGCAGCGAATTTTTCAATAGACCATTTCACAACAGTCATTCCCATGGGTTCATAAGATTCGTATCAAATAAAAAATTCCTTTCTCCTTTTACGATACCAGACAAATATTTACAATTCTTTTTTGCGATTTCAAATGAAAGTTTCAAAGTTAAATTCATTTTTGTATGTCAGAACGGCAGACTATTTTCTTCTCTATTTGCGCATAATGGAATACTTTACGACATTCTTTTTATTCTCCTTAACCGTTTAGCTACTGCAAACAGGTACTTACGTATTCTCTCGTATATTCGCTAATTACCGTCCAGCCTGGACTCTCTTCCTGCGACAGTTCGTAAAAAAGCACAAAACGAATCGTTGTACGACATTAAACCTGATTACCCGTTCAAATAAAAAAAAATAAACTATAGAATACACACGCACAGAAGAAACACTAAACAAATTAACTCAAACTAAACTAAAACTCGTTGTAATAAATTAAATGCACTCTATAAAAAAACGTGGATGATCGTTTTCAAATGTTGCTCCGCGACAAATAGATGTGATCGCGTTAATGACTGCCACCGAACTGAGGAAACGTTAGTCGACCCTCGCACAAAGTACAGACAAGTCATAAAAGTGTGTAAACAACGAGCGGATATATTATTACTTGCCCTTTGTCAGCGTCGTAAAAGCTCAGGGGTGACCTGAAAATGTTGGGATTGTACCTTCGCTCGCTGCTTCTACGCAGATTGCCAGGTTTCAGGCGTTTCTCCACCCAATATTTGATTCTTATTAACTTAAAAACGAAGCATCCAACACAATTTCGTCATTCTTGTACATGTCGAGTAAACTTCACTCACAATCCATATCGTTTCACAATACAGATACTATTTTATATTTGCCGAAACATTACACACGTGAAGTTTCTCTAGTTCATTCATAAGTAAGCACTTTCCACGCGTCTCAACGACTGACACGCGCACACCACGTCGCAACTAAAGGTTTAGAAATTACGACGATCCCTTGTAGTATCCATCGTAGAAAATAGAAGGATTAGAAACGGATAGTAATAGGGTGAAAAGGGGAGATCCTGTGGTTAGTTCGTGGTCCGTTACTGAATCGGAACGGCGATGATCCAGCGAAACGGTCGATTCGTTCGGTTAATGGCCGATCGATTACAAGCGACGCAACCAGAGTCGTTCTTTTATTCCCCGGTGTTTATCGGCCGGCGATTGGTTTAAATCGTGATCCATCGCGAGCGCGCGGATCCCCAGCGAACGGTTGGACCGCGTGCATCGTGGCGTTGGCGGCCCGCAAATTACAGACTTCGTTAGAATCCCCGTTATCTCGATACCTCGTCTCTTCGCGCGCGGGCGTGGAATTATAAAAACAATTCAGATTTATACCTTACGGCTTATCACGCGGGAGAAAGTTATCTACGTGAGCCTTGGCCATGCGGCCGCGAGACCGTGGTTAGTACGTTCCGCGGACAGGGGCCGATAAATCTCCGCGAGGGAAAAGGTTTTGTTTCCACTAAAGATTACAGGCGTTCGATAAAAATTCATTGTACTCGGAGAGAGAAGCCGTGGTACGGACAGCCGCGGATCCATCGTGAGAATGCAACCGACGGGATCATCGGAGCCACGACGCGTGTCCTTAGATGGAGATGTTCTATCGAATTGTACGTCGAACGCGCGAGGACACGAAGTGTTCAAGGTAAAAGGAATGAGTCAGGGAATACGGTGCGAACATCCTGCGGTGAGGGATCGTAGTAAATTTTGCATCGTCTGAAAATATTGTTCTCGCCTGGTGGGAAGAATCGAGGCCGTTGGATAAGGATAGGAACGAATAAAACTACAAGGCATACTGTGAAGCTTCGAGAGGTTCGTTATAAATCGGGATTCCATTATATGTTTCCACTTGGATGATCAATGGTAGCTATGAATAGATTCCTACTGGAGCTTGTTACTTCGACAGTGAGTCACATGAAACACGACTGTTACATTTATATACCTCGCTCGTTTTCCAATGTTGACCTACCCGTGTCGATCTATCATCGTAGAAAACTATTGAAACTTCAGAAAGTGTATGTCGTTGAAAATAACACAATTTATTGAACTTGAACTCTAATCCATTCTATTAATCTTAACAATTTCCATGAGGAAATAAATGAGATTGTGTATAATTTGACTGAAAACGTAGGTGATAAATTTATTGATGTTCGACACTAAATACAGTGGATTTCAGTTACTTAGGACACATCGGGGCTAGCTTTCTTTGACCCGATTAAGCGGCTCTCCGAATTATGCGAAATATCATATACATAGATAAATACAGTACCATTTGATTAGGTGTAATTCTTTGACCGTTGTCCCAAAACAACTACCTCGATTAACCAGTCGCTGAAACAAGCGTAATCCACTGTATCTTTCCCTCGTGAAACAAGTTCTTACTTCGTCTGAAAAAGAAACGAACATAACGAACGGATCACCAACAAACTCGTCCTTAATTAAACCACGAAATACCAACAAAAAATGCTCGTTAATCCGAAAAAGAAAATTACCAGAAGCCACCATGCGACCACGGGACGCCGCGTTGTTCCTCGTCACGTTATCCACGAATTAATAAACCTTTCATAAAGAAACGAACGTTACCGTATAACTAGCACCGGGGTACACGGGGTCCCCGTCGTGTCGCCGCGGAAAAATACAACGACCCCGTGAAATTTACGCGTGACCGGGCCGCATAAACTGACCGGGGCGCGGAGACCGCGTCCTCCCCATTGGAATCGGCCGGGGCTCGTTACCAAATGGAGATCGAACCGCGATGCTCTTTTCTCTATGCACCCGCGAGAATCGAGGAGCCCCGCACGCCCGGCCGGCCGACGCAACGAGGATTTATACCGGTGCATACGCATTATGGCGTTGTTAATATGCAAGCCGCGGAACGGAGCCGGGTAAGTACTCACCTGTGTCTATATATATATATATATGTATATAGGTGTGTATACGTGTACAAGAGGGAGAGGCGACGAGGGATCCCCGGGAAGATAGAAGAAACGGGATAGAAAGAGAGAAAGAACAGTCCAAGCCGCGTACTTTAGTAATTTATTTAGCTGCCGTGCCGTAATCCGAGATATTCATCCGGGTAATGGGTAATCGTAGACGCACTCGCAACCGTGACTCGGAATCGCGGCAATTATAACTGTATACGTACCATGGGGAGATATTCGTGTAAAAGGGTCGCATTCGCGGGTTCGCGCGCGGTTGTGGCCCAGCGAGTACACGCGAACGCTCGATCTCGCCCCACAAATCCTTCGTCGTTCTTCGTGTATTATCCCGGGAATGTTTACTAACGAGTGGGTTAAGCCGAGAGTTTCGCTTGGGCCCCGTGGATCTCGTCCCCGTGACTTTTATCGATCCCCACCCAACCCCCTTAGTGCTCGTTATTGCGGACCGTGGCGAGAGACAGGTATACACTGGTCAGGGGAAAAGGGGGACATTGTATGTGACAAAGAGAGATGACGATATACACCTGTTCGACGAACACGCGTGTGTGGTTACGTATTTGCCAAAAGTTCCCCGTAAATCTGCCCGTAGATTTATGCCGTTAATCCGAGTAAGCCATTTCGGGCAATAAACAGTGAAATACTCCCGGTGACCGGTATATCCTCGTCGAGATTTAGACCGAGATTAAAATTTTAAGTATCACGGAAAAGCCAGGGGGTGGAAACGGGTTCGCGGGTGTGTCGCGTGTGATTCACGGGCCGCGGTTCATGGCATCGGTTAAAACGGACCTTCTCGGAATCGTCTGGACGGCCACGATTGTAACCGTTGCGTTTTAGTTAACGATGATTGTCGTTCGGGATGGAATGTTCGCGCGCGATGAGACGAGGCATGAAACGTTCGGGTGGCTGGGAAGGTGTGTTATTCACCTGCCCAAGTGGAATACAGAGAGGAACGAGGTGGTCCGAAGAAATTGTAACGGGATTGTAATATATGTATATCCGTACCTAGCAATTTTTCCATACTGGAAACGTATGTATTTCGCCCGCGTCCGTATCCTTCTAGATCCTCCTCTTCGGGTCGAACGCATTTATCATCGAATTAAACCCGTTCACGGAAAGGTAAGAGAGGGGAAGACAGAGACAGAACGGGGAAGAGTAGGGTTAAGAAAAAAGTCCGCGAAAGGTCGTCTTATCGGAACACGTGGGAACCATTGATCCAACGTAATACGTACATACGTGTAGTCGAAAAACGTTGCTACGTCCATGGTCGACCGGGGGATAAGGAGAGGATACGAAACGTGATGGAGGAAAGGTGGAGAAAGAGGAGAGGAAGACGACCCACGCGCCTCAATAACGATCACGATGCGGTCGCGGCACTAGCCCCGAGCGTGGCTACACCAAGACAATGGCCGTAAATACTGGACACGAGGTGCTCGTCATCGTACAGGGAAGCGAGGCATAATTCACAATGGGTATATCTCTTTAAATCGCGCGAAAGCGTAAAAGCTTTACGTCGCGGCTGTTTCGCCCCGTGCAAGGATCAAGAGAGAGAGAGAGAGAGAGAAAGGCTTCGCGGACCGCGGCGTATGATATATTATCGCGGCTGAACTTTGCACGTTTCACCGGCTCCGATCGAACGTGACTTTTCTGCGGGCGATTGAACGCCGTTCCGCCCTCGGACAGAGACGTAACGGAGACGGGGGATAGGAGTGATCCCTGACACTGCAACCTGCGACAGGAGAACGCTGCGCTAGGGCTTGATCGATTAATCCCACCGACTAGTTAACGTCAGCACCTTGATCCTACGAGAGACGCCTGAAGTGCCCGCGGCTTTTATGGCTCGAGCATCCTCCGACGCGCCTTGGGGTAAAAAAAATACTTCCCAGATCCTGTCGCGTAAAAATGTCGATCGATCCATTTTTTTTTAGAGCTTTTCCCGCGTGAAATGCATCCCGAACGATCCTTGTCCGTCGAAGATGCATCACGGTTTTCTGGTTCGGAAAGAGCTTAGCCTGTTTGAAAGACTTAATCGTACCTGACTGCCTGTAAAAGATGCTCAGTATTTAATAATAGAGAATAAAAGGGTGATTCTTCATTTTGCAAATGGTAGTTTCACACTGTGACTGCCACGTCACACAGATATGAGTGACGCGTACATAGCAAAGAGATTATTCAAATAGGGCTCGAAAATTTTAACGTGAAATCAATATCGCTGTATAATTTTGAACAAGACCAACAGCTTCTATTCACGAAACGCATAAATTTTCGACGTTTCAGGATTTAAAGAATGAATTGAAGCGTGTCCGACTACCTATGGCTTTTTTCACTGTGGCAGTCAACGCGTTAAACGTTTGTGGCACATTGGCGAATTGACAGAAAGACGTCGCTATAAAAAAGACGATGCAATGATGTCATGTGGTCGTTTTGGTGCCATTTCGACGCAACACCGAGCTACAACAATTTCGGGTAATACGCGTCAGATTTTACCGGCGAATCAAGGGAGACATTGTTCCAGCGTTTTACGGGGTTCTCTTCGATAACGACGTCCCCGCCCCGTGACGCGTAAACGAAGTTCGAGCGTAATAGAAAACAGATAGCCGTCGACGTTCAATAGCTTCGGTAAATACGACTTTTCAACAATGTAGGTACACATTCAACCGAACTGCGACGTTTGTTTTTGAGGCGGTCGATTCAGTTGACGTGCCGTTTTCAACATGATAATCGTTTCCCTCTCACCGCCGAAACGTGTATTCGCCTGTCGCCTGTTCATGGAAACGGGCTTTCATTCCGGGATGAATCGGCTGGTACCTTGAAAACCGTCGCCGCCGTCGTAGTCACAAAAACAGTGTCGTTAAATCAAATCCCACCGCTTCTGAATACGCGATTTCGCTCATAACGCGTTCGTGGCGGTTGCATTGAAAAGATTTTCGTGGCTCCAGACACATCTCGACGTCACGTCTGCGTCGTGACCGTTTTAATTAAATCGCGGATGATAAACGAATGCGAGTCTTGATGCGGTTACTCAGACCCCGTTCGGAGATTCTCGCGGTCAACGGTGTACAAAGACACGGTTTCCGTTAGCCACGAACGCCATTCAAACTGTCCCCCTCCCACTTCTACCAGGCTCGATTATAAGTCGATGCTTAAGACATCAATCCGTACACCCGGCTATCGCGTCGTACGTCATCCTCCATTGAATTCATTCGTCATCCCGCGGAGGTATAATACCATCTGTATACAGAGATAAACGGAGCCATCAGTTTCGTGAAAAATGACGATTCGAATTCGAGACAAGCCGATACGGGTGGGTATGCCACCGAAACGAAAACGGAAGATGAAGCGGTGCGATCGATGGTTTCGTTGTAAAGTATACGTTCGTTGTAAAAATGTTCGCGGGTTGTTTAGAAAGTTTAAATGCTCCCGAGTTACGGTGCAACGACGGCGCGAATGAAAGACGGCGGAAAAAGTAGCAACGGGATGAATAAGCAGTTCTAAGTAGCAGGTGCGATAAAAATTCGATGTTATGGACCTCGTAAAGTTCCGTGTCCCGCCGTTAACGGTACTACGAAAGGGAGAGAAAGAGAGTGTTGAAACGAATATTAATATTAGAAAGAAAATTGTGTCGAAGTAATAAAGCATGTGGTGTAAATTAAAAAATCGTATAAAATGTGGCAGAATGTTTCACGAACTTCAGACCACCCCGAAAAAAATGACTCTGCGAGATGTCTTTATGCAACAAATTGAATAGTAAATTTTGGTTTAGATTTAATTAACCGATTCCGATAATTTGCTTTATGCTGCCGTAAAATTATACGATCCAAAGGCAGTTATCGTGTTTATAGGATCGCGAAACGCCGAAGTATACACAATACGTCTAAGTTCCTTTCTTATAGCTCTGTTAGAGTAAATTGTCCGCGGTAATCGACCGCAATCTATCGACTATACGTGTATCTAGTACTCGTCCGTCGCGATGTAATTGAAAGGTAAATCGTATTATTTCCCCGCTATCGATGCACGTAATTAATCACGCCGGAACAAATGCGATCAACGGGTGAAAGTGTGACGGAAAAAAGAGTAGCGAAACTAAATTTAACTTTATTAAACTTCGATACTCAGGAACATTACGCTCGGAGAGCAATTGTATCGAATGTTTCTTTACCGACCACTTTCACGTCGGCTCGCAACTGAGAATCGCGTACAGAGGGTTATCGTGGGAACACCTGCAGGAAAGAAACGAGAATTCACCGTAAAAATCGGATTCGTAAGAATCATCGGAAAGCGAAAACCCCGAGGAGGTACATTAGATCGCGAATGGATACCAATGGCCGAACAAAAACAACGATTAAATATTTTCCCGTTGGCAGGCGTTAGCTTCGCGATCCCCCATCGTTCATAATTCATCCTCTCGCTTCGTATATCACGATAAGAAAGTATATTGAAGCGCGAACATAAAGCACGGCGCGCTGAACGATTCCTGCATTATAAATGTCTCCAATCAAACCCCTGAGAGGGGGGTAGTGGAAGGGAAGAGGGGAGAACGTTAAGGAACAACTCGTGGAACTTGTCTAATCGACGTGCATCCGTCGCGATAAAAGATTCACCGGGTTGGTGTACCCGCGGAGGGAGCTGTCGGCAGTCCTAGACGATGTGCCACTGTCTACGGAAGACTAACGACTATCTGGGAAGAGCCAGCTGGCTTGTATACGCTGTTGGTGTTTGTATCTTTGCAGTAGCGAATTGCAACGTGCGTTTTCTAGCGTCGTATAGTACTCTGGAAACAATTCACTGTTCCGAACAGCTTCGAACAAAAGACCTGCATTTTTAACTGGAGTAATACTGAATTCTACAGGAAGTACAATACTGAACGAGTGAAGCAAGAGGGTCTAATTGGAGCAATCTAAGAGCGAGAGACACAACTGGAGTCAATCTACGGTCAGTGGATCTAATTTGGATCAATTCAAGGTCGATGTAAATCCAAGTCGGTGATCTCAACTTACGTACTAACCTAGATTTGAGAAATCTCAATTAGATCAAATCAGAATTCAGAAATGTCTGTCTAGAATCGCGGGACCAAACTATAACCAGCGATCCAACCCAGAATCTTAATTTTGGAAACGTCCAGATACAGCGACTCAGAACGAAGTCCATTGAATCCAAGGTAGTCCTCGTTGAATTAACGTTCAAGACAGGCGAAAGAACACGTGTAACTACGGTGGACCACAAGAAAATGAGTTATAACAAATCACATAAGCGTCCGACATTCCCCCGTTTTCGGTCGACCCGCGAAAAGGGTCCAGCCGTCGTCGTCGCGGGGCGTTGCCGAGGAAAATGGACGCACGCGCACGTGCGTTTATTGTTTTTTATTCCCAGCAGTCATTAACCACCGGCGTGACCCAATTCCTTCGTGAATCGTTCGGCTCCCTCGGCCATTTTATTCGCCACCGGTGAGCTGGGAGTTTCTCCTCCGTGGCTAACGGTAAATTAACAACGAATAAACGCCACAGATCGGAGAAACGGATCATACCCGCGGATCTCCTTTTCACGGCGACTGGGACAGAAGAAACAGAGACTCACCCCGTCTGGAGGAGAGTAACGCGAACTTGCTTACCACCCAGGAGTAATTTCACGAGCGCGTAAAAATTTTTTTACGACACTTTAATCGTTCCCCTTTCTTCGCGTATTTTCGTCCTTTACCGTTCCGCGCGCACGCGCGCATGCCGGGGCGTTCCGTCAGCCGCAAATATGAAGTTGGTACCATTTCATGGCCACTGAACAAGCGCAACGATGCGTAATTAAGGATGATATACCGGCGGAACGCGAACAGTCCATTGTACACTTTCTGCTTTTTTTTTGTTTTCTCGCACTTCTGCGTGAGCTGACAAAAGATTCCGACGTTGTTTGTTTTATATGTTTAATCACGATTCCCACCCGACTATGGACGAGATTAACTTTGCGTTCGTAGACTGGATTCACGGTGACTTCCTTTCGTCGAGACGTCCTCTTCCTGGAGCACAATGAACGTTTTTCATTATTACCGTATAAATGTGCCGGTGACTGCATCTACCCCCAGGGACATTAGAAGCAGCGTGACGAATCTTTGTGAGCTAGGCATTGAATAATAACAACGGGTGCTAAACGCTGTATTATGCGAGTGGACAGGATGATTTACGTTCGGTTCGCAGGAGTGAAAACTATCGTAGTTATGTCACTTGATCGAGATCTAAGGATTCTTTGAATCATAGCAACGTATCTCATTGTTAATTATTCTAGTCTAGAACCTGCTATACGTAATGTATCATCAAACGACTATATTGGTCGTTAACTGAACTTTGACCTGACGATTGGTCAGATTAA